CATCCATTCCTGATAAAAACACTCAACAAAGTAGGAGTTGAAGGGAAATTCCTCAACATAATTAAGAGCATACACATAAAACCAACAGCCTATATTATTCTCAATGAAGATAAACTGGAAGACTTCCCTTTGAGAACAGGAACCAGACAAGGATGCCCTTTATTACCACTCCTATTCAATATTGTGTTACAAGTCTTAGCCAGAGCTATAAGGCAAGAAAGGGAGATTAAAGGCAAATGCATCAGACTGCAAAGCCGTTTGAACTGCAACGTCGGTGGTTCAAGCTCAGCAGCTGCTCCTTGGAAACCCTATGCAGGGTCGCTATGGGTCAGAACCGACTCGACAGCACTTAACAACAACAACAACAACAAAGGAGCTCTGGAGCCCTGGTGTAGTGCTGTGGGTTAATGTGCCAGACTGCAAAGCCGTTTGAACTGCAAGGCCGGTAGTTCAAGTTCACCAGCTACTCCTCAGAAACCCTATACAGGGTCGCTATGGGTCGGAACTGACTCGATGGCACTTCACAACAACAACAACAACAAAGAAGCTCTGGTAGAGTAGTGGTTACGAATCGGGCTGTGAACCGCAAGGTCAGTAGTTTGAAACTACCAGCTGTTCTGCAGGAGAAACGTGAGGCTTTCTGTTCCCATAAAGATTTACAGCCTTGGAAACCCTGTACAAGTATACAGGGTCGCTATGAGTCAGAACCAACTCCACAGCACATAACAACAACAACAGCTGGTAAAGCAGAAGTAAAACTTCGTGTTTGCAGAGATATGCTCCTTTTCATAGAAAATCCCAAAGACTCAGCAAGAAAATTACTGGAAATCATTGAAAGATTTAGCAAAGTGGCAGAGTACAAGATTAATGCACAAAAGTTAGTTCCTCCATGGTGTGGCGCTGTGAGTTAAAGCGACAGACTGCAAAGCCGTTTGAACGGCAAGGTTGGCAGTTCAAGTTCACCAGCTTCAGTCGCTATGAGTCTGAACTGACTCGACGGCACTTAACAATAACAACAACATACTAATAAAGACAGCTTTGAAAAGGAAATGAGGAAACCAATACCATTTATAATAGACACCCAAAGGATGAAATTGTTGTTGTTGTTGTGAAGTGCCGTTGAGCCGGTTCCAACCCATAGCAACCCTGTATAGGGTTTCCAAGGAGCAGCTGGTAAGCTTGACTCGCCAACCTTGCAGTTCAAATGGCTTTACAGTCTGGCGCATTAACCCACAGTGCCACACAAGGACTCCTAAGATGAAATATTTGGTAATAAATCTAACCAGAGAAACAAAAGACCTATACAAAGAAAAGTACAAAACACTACTACACGAAGAATAGACCATGCTCAGATGGCACTTAACAACAACAACACAGATAGGATGGCTTAACAATGTGAAAATGTCAATACTACCCAAAGCCAGCCAGCTGTACATACAACACAATCCAGATTCCAATATCATTCTTTAAAGAGGTGGAAAAAAATGATCATGAACTTTATTGGAAAGGAAAGAGACCTCAGATAAGCAAAGCACTGCTTAAGAAGAACAAAGTTAGAGACCCCTCACTCCCTGATCTCAAATTTTACTACACAACACAGTGGTCAAAACAGCATGGTACTGTTAAAACGAAAGATTCGGAGATCAATGGAATAGAATTGAGAACCAGAAGTAAATCCATGCACAGTCAACTGATCTTTGACAAAGGGCCAAACACAACAAATGGGGGAAGAGATAGTCTCTTCAACAAATGGTGTGGGCAAAACTGGAAATTTATAAAGAATTAAACATGACCAATGTCTCACACATATATATAAAAACAAACTCAACATGGATTAAAGACCTAAATGTAAGCCCAGAAGCAGAAAGATCATCAATGTAAAACTAGGGACAAATTTAGGCGATCTACTATAAGGCATACATAGACTATCAAACATTGTAAGAAACACACAAACTGTAGAAGATAAAATAGATGACGGGGACCTCCTAAAAATTAGACACTTATGCATATCAAAAGATTTCACCAAAAGAGTAAAAAGGGACCTCATAGGCTGGGAAAATTTATTTTTTGCAACAACGTATCACATAAGGGACTAATATCTAAAATTTATAGAAAACTGCAACACCTCTACAAGAAAAAGACAAACAATCCAATTAAAAAATGGGCACCGGATATGCACAGACACTTCACCAAGGAAGACATTCAGGCAGCCAACAAACATATGAAGAAATGTTCGTGATCATTAGACATTAGAGAGATGCAAATCAAAACAATGAGGTCATGCCACAGCAGCATTAACAGAGAAGCTCAAAAAAAAACAGAAAACAGCAAATGCTGGTGAGGATGTGGAGAGATTGGGACGCTCCTATATGCTGGTGGAAGTGTAAAATGGTTCAACCATTCTGGAAAACAGGATGGTGTTCCCTGAGAAATAACTTATGACCCAGAAATCCCTCTACTTGGTATCAATCCACAAGAAATATGAGCCAGGACATAAGCAGATACATACACACCCATGTTCATCGCAGCACTATTCACAATAGCAAAAAGACAGAGACAGCCACAGTGCCCATCAGTGGAAGAATGGGTAAACAAACTTTGGTACATACACACATTGGAATGTAACCTTGAAAAATAATTATCAATCTGTGAAACATCTCATAACATGGATGAACCTGGAGGACGTTATGCTGAGTGAAATTAGTCAATCACAAAAGGACAAATATTGTATCAGAATGTTCCTTAGACACCTGGATGGCAAGATTTTGTTTCTTGCTCTTTGGACTTGCTGTTAGGAAGGATCAGTCCCTGGAGAAGGACATCATACTTGGCAAAGTCAAGGGTCAGCAAAAAAAGAGGAATATCCCAAGCCAGATGAATTGACACAGTGGCTTCAACATAAAAACAATTTTGAGGATGATGTCGGATAGGCATTGTTTCATCATGTTGTGCATAATGCCACTATGAGTCAAAACCAACTTGACGGCTCCTAACAACTATAAGTACACCAATGTTCCCCATGCTAGGGTAGTTTACATGACTGGATTTTTGCTTCAGTTTTCCCCAGCTCTCAAAACCAGAGCCCTCTCCTAAACTCTGGACTGTTTGAAGAGACCAGCACACCTGTTTCTCTCTTGACGGCTGTCTTCTTAGTAGCAGAAGCAGACAGGAAAGGAGGTGACCACTCTAGTATTTTCCCATTTTAGGGTTCTCTAGTTTCCATTCTCCCGTTCTTCCAAAACAATTTTAAAAAACCCTCCTTTATAGCTGGGCATACGGTTGCTCAGGATTAAGACCATATTCTTCAGCATACCTTGCCACTCAGGGTGACCATGTGATCAAGTTCTGGTCCAGCTGATATTGTGGGTCAACTTCTGGAAGCCTTAGAGTTGACACACAATCCTTGCCTTTTCTAAGGAACCCAGACCCTGAGGATTTCCTGATGGTCTACATGGATGGTCTACTTCAAAACTTTTATAAGAGAGAAATAAACTTCATTGAAACCAGTTTTTGTTGTTGTTGTTGGTTTTTTTTGGGGGGGGAGGCCACTATAACTTTACAACTTTGGAAACCCTGTGAGTCGAACCGACTCACCAGCACTGCAGCACAACTGCAGCAGTGCCATCGTCATTAAAGTGTCCCACTGCTAAGTCTGTAGTTGGACCCCACCAGCTGCTCCTCAGGAGGAAGATGTGGCGGTCTGCTTATATAGAGATGTAAGCTTTGGAAATCGTGTGGGGCTGGTGTGCTCTGCCCTAAGAGGTCACTACGAGTAGAAATCAACAGGACGGCAACAGTACAACTTGCAGCTACATCTGCTCTTGACTGATACTCCCCTTCCACTAGCTGGGCCTGCTCGAATCACCCCAGTCCTGCCTTAGGTGGCTCTGAGCATCACTGTGCGCTCAGAATCGCTGCTGGTGGGCCCTGCACTTCAATGGGACTTTCTGGATGCCAGTGACCAATCAATTTAGAGCTCCCACACCTGTTAGAAAACAGAGGACTTCCTCCCCTCCTATCAAATCCAGCAACTGGGACATTGCCACCAACTAGCTGTCTTAGTTATCCACTGCAGATGTAACAGAAATGCCACAAGTGAGGGCTTTAACAAACAGAAATATACTTTCTTACTGGCTGTTGTTGCTGCGTGCCGTCAAGTCAGTTCAGATTCATACAACCCTGTATAGGGTGTCCGAGGCTGTAAATCTTTATGGGAGCACACAGCCTCATCTTTCTCCCAAAGAGCAGTTGGTGGAATCGAACTGCTGACCTTGCAAAACCCACTAGGCCAGGAGGCTAGCAATCCAAATCCAGGGTGCCAGTTCTAGGGGAAGGCTTTCTCTTTTGTTGTTTCTTCGGTGCTTCTGACATCTTTCTTCCCCATCTCGGTTTGTTTCATCTCTTTAATATTTTCAAAAGAGATTGGTTCAAGACATACCCACATTAATCCTGTTTTACTAGCCCAACAAAGACAACCCATCCTCAAACAGGATGATAACTACAGGCTTAAAATTTAGGATTTACACCACATTTTGGGGACATGACTCAATCCATGGAGTCCTGTGTGGCACTGCAGGATAAATGTGCTGGACTTCAAGGTCAGTTTGAACCACAAGGTCGATGGTTCAAACTCACCAGCTGCTCCTTGGAAACCCATACAAGGTTGCTATTGGTGGGAACCGACTCAACAACACTTAACAACAGCAATAACAACAGCTCAATCCATAGCACTGGTCTTGCCTGACCCTAACTTCAGCACACTCCACACACCTCCCCCAAAGTCCCAGCATACACTGGAACTGATGGGACTTCAGGCTTACCCCACCAGGTAAAGGAGGGCAAGATGGTCTCCCTCTGCCTGACTCCCAATGTCACTGGGAGCGCATGGAACCCAGAGCTTTGCAACAGGATTTCTGACTTTCTGGAACACTTCTCTCTAGTGTGCTGAAGTAGGACTTTCCCAAGGCTATGGGGAGCCACCTGGGCAGGGTCACACTTACCTTTCTCTGATGCGGGGGCCAGGTCAATGAAGCTGCGGCATTTCTCACCTTTGAAAATAAAAGAAGGGTTTCAGAATGCAAGAAGACATATGAGCTTCAAGCCATGAGACCTAAAGTAGAGCCGGGAGAAGTGGGAGGGGGACCCTAGCATCTCTAATCCCAATGACTTCTTTCTCTAAACTTTATTCCTGGAAGATCAATGTCTCCAAGGAATGTGATGATTCCATCCTCTCAAGCCCCATCTGGTCTTAGCCCCATGAGGGAACAGCCTCCTCACTGGCCTCTCCAAGACTCTACTCTTGTCTCTCTCCAATCCATTCTGCACACTGTATCCAGCAGAGTATTTTAAAAGCACAGCTCTGACTTTCACACACACACACACACACACACACACACACACACACTCCTGCTCAGAACTCTTGATGACTTTCCAGAGACTAACTGCCCCCCCACACACACACACATTTCTCTCCTCCCCTGTCAGTCCCTTAAACCCCCATGCTCCCTCCCACCCTGAGATTTTCACACAATCTATTCCCCTACTGGGAACACAGAGTGTTTATTGACATCTATTCTGTGCCCCATGAACACAAGGGCCACATGCTAATGCATCTCCAGCTCATTCACAGCAACTCTAAACTCCCAGGTGCTTGGACCCAATACCCTGGAGCCATCCTTGGAGCCTCTTTTCCCACACCTCACATCTGACCTGTGAATTCTCCAAGTCTCCAGGATCCAACCACTTCTCACCACCTCTGCTGCTCCACCCTGATCCCAGATAGCACCATTTCCCACTTGGATTATAGCAGCAGCCTCTGCACTGGCCTCCTAGTTTCCGCCCTGAGCCACAGCAGCCAGAGGGAGCCTGTTTCAATGGAGAGAGAGCTTGCCCCTTCTCGGCTCAGACCCCTCCACGGTTCCCAGCTCACTCAGAGTCCAAGTCCACACTGCAAGACCCAAGCAGATCTGTGCCCTCAGTTCCTAATGTCTTCTTCCTCACTCCCTCCACTCTAGTCACATGGGCCACTTTGCTGGTTCTTGGACACACGGAACACACTCCTGCCTCAGAGCCTTTGTACTTGCTGCCTCTTCTTTCTAGAATGTTCTTCCCTCAGAAAGCTGGATGGTTTACCCCTTCCCCTAATGCTACCTTCTCAGGCCTTTTTCTGACTAATCTATATAAAAATCCAACTGCATTTACACTCCCCACCACCTTCCTGCTTGATTTCTAGTATTTAGAACAGTATCTGGAGTCCAGGTGTGGTGTGACACTGTAGGACAAGCACGGAACTGCTAACCGCAACACAGACAGTTCAAACCTGCCAGGCGCTCCTTGGAAACCCTATACAGGGTCACACGAATCAGAAACAACTCGATGGCACTTAATAAAAACAGAACAGTACCTGGTACATGTGGTTGTTAAGTGTCACGGAGTCGGTTCCAATTCATAGAATCCTGTATAGGGTTTCCAAGGATCAGCTGGTGGGTTTGAACTGCCAACACTGCAGTTTGTAGTCCAGTGCTTATCCTACAGCACCATATGAGGACTCCACATGGTTAAAATTGTATACAGGATTTCTGAGTTTCTGGAACACTTCCGAATGAATGAATGAATATTGAAAGCGCCATGGGCTGCCAAAAGAACCAATAAATCTGTTCTGGAAGAAGTGCAGCCAGAGTGCTACTTGGAGGCCAACATGGCCAAACTTCGTCTCTCATACTTCAGACATATTGTCAGGAGGGACCAGTCACTGAAGAAGGATATCATGTTTGGTGAGATGGAGGGTCAGAGAAAAAGAGGAAGACCCCAACGAGATGGACTGGCCAAGTGGCAGCATCGATGGACTCAAGCGTGGCAACAGTAGTGAGGTTGGCCCAGGATCAGGTAGTGTTTCATTGTGCTGGGCATAAGGTCGCTATGAGTTGGTACCGACTTGATGGCACTTAACAACAACCATTACATTAAGGAGCTCTGGTAATGTAGTGGTTATGAATCCGGCTGCTAACCTCAAGGTCAGCAGTTCGAAACTACCAGCTGTTCCACGGGAGAAAGATGAGGCTTTCTGCTCCTGTTAAGATTTACAGCCTCAGAAACCCCCGTACAGGGTCACTATAAGTCAGTTCCTACTCCACGACACATCACCACCACCACCACCACCATCTCATTGTATGAGTATACTAAACTTTATCCATTCAGGTTGTTTCCATCATTAGGCTGTTTCTTGAATATTTGTATACAGTTTCTGTGTGGCCATGTCTTCATTTCTCTTGATCGGATATCTTGGAGTGGAATTGTTGAGCCAAGTACTAACATTCGTTGCACCTTTTGAGGGTCTGCCTGATTCTTTTCCAAAGAATTTACCATTTTACGTTTCCACCATCAGTGTAGGAGGGCTCCAGTACCTCCACATCCTCAAACACTCTTGTTACTGTTATTATAGTAATTGTTATCATAAATATTATAAAGATTATTATAACCAGCCTGTTGTTGTTACGAAGTGCTGCCAAGTTGATTCTGACTCATAACAACCCTATATAGGGTTTCCAAGGAGCGGCTGGTAGATTTGAACCACCAACCTTGTGGTTAGCAGCCCAGTGCTTATCCTATAGTGCCACACCAGGACTCCTAGTCATCTGTTGTTAGGTGCCGTCAAGTTGGTACTGACACATAGCAACCCTATGCACAACAGAACAAAACACTGCCCAGTCCCACACCAACCTCATAATTGTTGCTATATTTGAGCCCATTGCTGCTGCCACTGTGCCAATCCATCTCGTTGGGGGGTCTTCCTGTTTTTCTCTGACCCTCCATTTTACCAAACATGATATCCTTCTCCAGGGACTGGGCCCTTCCTGATAGTATGTCTGAAGTATGAGAGATGAAGTCTGGTCATCCTGGCTTCCAGAGAGCATTCTGGCTATACTTCTTCCAACATAGATTGGTTTGTTCTTTTGGCAGTCTGTGGTACTTTCAACATGCTCCTCCAACATCCTAGTAGATGTGAGATGGTATCTCACTGGTTTTTATTTGAATTCCCCTAATGCTAACAATTTTGAGCACATTTTCATAGCTTATTCACCTCTTTGAACATCTGGTATGGCTCTATAGGATCAGCACTGGACTGCGAACCACAGGGTCAGCAGTTCAAACCCACCAGCTGTTCCTCAGAATTGAGTCAATGGTACTTAACAACAACAACAACTGACCTTCTCTGTCCTTATTTTAAATGGGTGATTATTATTATCTTTATATGTCTTGGGCACAGTCCTTTATCAGACACATGATTTGCAAATATGTTCTCCCATAATACGGGTTGTCTTTTCTTTTCTTTTCTTTTCCCCTAAGCTTTATTTGGGGAGTATGGTGGCTTTGTCGGATATGCACTGGACTGTGAACCACAAGGTTGGCAGTTCGAACCCACCAGTGACTCCAAAATAAGGTGTCTGCTTCCCGTAAAGATTTACAGTCTTAGATCCCCTATACAGGGTTGCTATGAGTCAGAACTGACTCAGTGGCACTTACAAATAACAACAAACTTTATTTGATTGTTGAGGATATATACAGCTCAATATACACCAATTTAACAGTTTCTACATGCACAATTCATTGGTGACATTGCTTACATTTGTCTAGTGATGCAACCATTTTCATCCTTTTCTACCTTCTTTTTTTGGAGCATTTTATTGTAGTTTGAGTGAAAATTTGCAGAACACGTGCATTTTCCATTCAACAGTTTATACACATTTTGTTTCATGACATTAGTTGCAGCCCCTCAATGTAGCAGTGTTCTTCCCACTTCCTTCCTGGGTTTTCTGTTTCCATTTGTCTTCTTGCCTGCCCCTTCCTGCCTTCTGCACTTTATGTTTGGACAAACACTAACCTTCTGGTCTCATATGGCTGAGGATTCTGAAGACCACATTAATTGTGAGTGTTATTGTTCACCGTGTAGGCCTGTCTGGGGATTTCTGGGAGGAGACTCAACTACAGGTTTAAAGGGTGTCTAAGGGCTACAGTCTTGGGGGTCCCACAAGTCTCTTTTCAGACCAGTAAGTTTAGTCTTTCTTACAATTTTGAATTTTGTTCTAGATTTTTCTCCCACTCTGTACAGGACCTTCTATTATGATCCTAGTCCGAGTGGTTGGTAGCGGTAGCTGGGCACCATCTAATTCTTCTGGTCTCAGAAGCAGATAGTGTGGTTCCCATGGTCCATTAATCCTCATCACCCTCAATTTATTCCTCCTTCATTTATGTAAACTCACTGCCCCCTAAGATTCCTAGCTAATCTTTCCAATTGCTGTTGTCAGTTTGACCTCATTATAGATAGTTCTTAAGAGAGCACAGTGCTCAAGGCAGACCTGTTTTACTAGTTAAGTTTCACTCGTGTTCAGTTTGACATTGTCCCATGCTCTGTCCAGGGCCTTCTAGTGTGATCCTGATCAGAGTGGTTGGTGGCAGAATCTGGGTATCATCTGGTTCTTCTGGTCTCAGGCTAGTAGAAGCTATAGTTCACACAATCCATGAGTACAAGAGACTGTTTCCTCGAGGCTTTGATTTTCTTCACTCTTCTTTGCTCCAGATTGAGAAAGAACAATAGTTGTATCTTAGATGGCTGCTCGAAAGCTCTGAAGTCCCCAGTCACTACTCACCAAAGTATGGTGTATTGTCTTTGTGTACCAATGTTATGCCAATTGTCTTAGATGCTCCCCAAGACTATGGTCCTCAACCCCCAAGCCCAGTGAGAGTACCCATTTTAGAGATAAGCAAACTGAAGTTCTTAACTTTCAGTAACTTGCCCAAGACCACAGTCAGTAATTGATGGAACAAGGCCCATTACCTGTTTTTTTCTTTAACTTTTTATTGGGAATTGAGTGATAGTTTACATGGGAGAACATCAGTTTTACACTCATCATTTCATTGCAATGATTACAATCTCCCTCCATGCAGCATCATTCAACAGTATATGCTTTTCAAGAATCATTCCCACCCCCTCCACACACAGACACAGAGTAGACAGGGATGGGCAGCTTGGACACTGGCTACCCAAAAT